TATATGATAACCACTAGGTAGATGCCTATTTTTCTTAAGATGAATCTTTGTTTAAATGTATGCGAGTCCATATCCACAAACTCCTAATGAGTATCAAGTATTGGGGTACCAAACCCACTAATGTAATCCCCATTGAGAGCTTCAAAATCACCATTGAAAATGACGCAGACGTACCACAACAGTCTAACAGTAAAAGGGATTGTGGGGTGTTTTTCTATCGGTTCATAAAGATGTTGATCGCGAGGAAATCATTGAGCATAGAGGGTTCAACCAGAAGTTGGGCAGTGTCATATCGATGATTTTTTTCGGGATACGACGATAAAATAGAAGTTCATTTGAACATTATAGAATTATTTAAATCATATTTAACTTTCTATGGTTATTACTTTTGGTATATATATATATATATATATATATATATATATATATATATATATATTAGAGGGTTTCCCGTGCGTTGCATGGGACGGAAGGTGTTCGTTGTGTCAAATGAAATATGTTGCTTGCATTGGTATCCGTAGTAAAGTACATTGCTATTATGTGTAAATCGTCATCAATCGGATGAGTAGAAATGCAATGTAAGTGATGATAGTAAAAGAAGTACAATGCTATATTTGAATAGATTTTCAAAAACAATGAAAACACAATCTTATATCCGGGTAGTTTTAAATGAATGTACAATGTAATATACAACAAATGTAGAAAGAAAATTCTATTGATGCGAAAAAAAACAAAAAAAAAATCATCTTTGTAGAAAGAACATCTAGTTATAGGTCAAGACAACCATTGTTCTTCTACTTATGCTACATCATCCATTTGAAACATTAAAATCTAGTGAAAGCCTCACTATAAGTGGTGTCAAATAACACAACACATAAAAAGCACATACAATTTGTTCTACTTCTTCCTCATGGCCTGTACTTTCATTCAAAAGGAAACAAAAAAACAAAAATTAGATATCATATAAAAGAATGTTTGTAGTAAGACTAAAATCACATAGCAGACAAACATGTCAACAGATTGATAGCTCACCATATATTAGAACCCCACATATCATTTGTAAATAGTAAATAAAAATAATAAAAACTCATACCAGGGGAGGGAAGTCATACAAAACAATAAAAGATTTGAACGGAAGACTTGATTGGTCCAGAATTAGAGAATTCAAAAGGTTCAAAGTAAGACAAACCAGTAGATGCTGATCCCGAATCACTACTGGAGCTACTTGAACTATTCCTTTTGCTGGTCCTCACATCTGTGTCCACCAATGTCCACATCCTCTTCATTATCTTCATTACCTGAAACTAACAACAATATTACAACCAACCACCAAAACAACCATATTTTAGCTTCCATGAAAATAAATAAAATAAACCTTAAATGGATGCGTAGATGAGTTGATGAACCCCGACTCATTGTGAAGCTGCAATAACACATACAGAATCATCAAAACGATCACCCAAAACTGCTTGGTAAACAGGGATCTTTGTAAGAAATTTGTACCTCAATTTCACAAATTTGTAAGAAATTTTTAAGAAATTAGATGCTTCTTCACAGTCACCCATTCTTTCACCTGTAACTTGTGGATGTGAGAAAAGTCGGTGGAGTTAGTGCGCGAAAGGAAATTAACGACCATACATGATGAAATAACAACTGTAAATTGGTCGCATACGTTACTCGATTGCTTTTCACTGCCTTCCATTTCCGATATCTGATGGTCGAGGCGAGAAGGTGGGTGCCCTGCCACTACCTTTTGCTTCTTACTACTGACCACTTTCTTATTAGCTCTCCTGCCTGAATCCAAGGCGAAGGGTGCGACCGATTCTAGGTCGACCTTTGGAAAATTGATTTCTAGAGAGAATGAGAGATCGATTAGAGAAGGAGAACCGGTAGCAGCAGATGGAACGGGAAATTTCGAAGGAAAGGGGATCGGTTGCATAGATGCATTCTGAGTTGCCTTCCCAAGACACGACCTTCAATTTCATCCGATGCTTAATGACCGAATCAAAAACATCATCGCCTCAATACCAAAAGAAATAAAAATTGGAACCCAAACAAAAGAGATTAGGGTTATGGACTGAAGGGGTACCCTCTGAGAATTGTTGTTGCTTCTGATCGGAGTCGAGAAAAGGAGAGGTAGAACGGTGTTCAGATTCCACTCCATACTACTCGATATTTTACAAATATTTGAATAATGTATCAGATAATAAGAACTTATCACATGAAATTGGAGGCTCAGAAAAAAAAAATTGGGCCAAACACCGGTATGGCTGCAAACACCGGTTGTATATTCCAATCGGATATGCCTTCCGAGTTGCCATGCCAAAATACGGCCTTGAGTGTGAATTGCTTTCACAAAAAAACTCATCATCGCCTCAATCTTGATTCGTCAACAACAATAAAAATCGGAACCCATCAAACAAAGCAATCAAAAAACGTGAAATAGAAGATAGGGAAGAAGGAGTCAGAGCATCAATCGCATAAACATAAGAAAGAGGTACAGAAAACCAGCAGCAAGAGACGATTGAAAGTCGATGGTATGCGTCTCCAATGGGAGAATGTAGATGAAGCACCACCGATCTCAACACCCACAACAAAACCGGAGAAGACCACATGCACAACAGGTCACAATTCCACCAACGATTTCCGATTTTCTAAGCACTGCCATATTGGATTTTAAGAGGGTAGAAGAAGGTTAGAGGTGGATATTAGCGAAAGTAGGCGATTGTGGATATGGGAGAAAATCATGGTCGCCGTTTGGATTTAGACTGAGAGAGGAGTAGACGAATATAACCGATGAGAGGCGGTGGAGGGGTCAAATACTTTGTGTAGGTAGAGAACACGTGGCCTCCACCGACCAATTTTTTGAGGGTGAGTAAGCAAGGAGATGCAGAAATAACAAAAGAGGGAAGACGCCACGTTTCTTGTTGGTGTCAGAAACTGAAATTGCCCAACTAAAACCGTCAAAAAGGAAAATGGAAGGACAAAATATAAAAAGATATAAAAAGATGGACTAAAGATGCCAAAAAGCTAGCAAGTTTACTGTTCCTATTCTTCACATCTTTAATATATATATATATATATATATATATATATATATATATATATATATATATAGATATATATATATATATATATATATATATATATTAAAAAACTTGTAAAACCGTAAATAAACAAAAAAATTAGGACATAACACAAAAACCATATAAAACCATAAATAAATTAAAAAAAATTAACAAACAACACAAAAAATGATTATTTATTTTTTAAAAAATACAGAAACTATCACGGAGATCGCTGCTGAATATCCTATTCCGGAATACATTTTTTTCAGTCCGGAATGAACATCACTACTCTGGAATATGACATTCCGGATCATAAATGGTTATTTTACAAAATTTATAAAAAATTAATTATTGTTATCTAATTATTCATTTATATGAGTTTTGATTAAACAATTTCCCTAGAATCACAATGCTTATAGTTGCGTAAATAAAGGATAAACATAATCTGAGCAATAGAAGCTCAACAAATTATATGGGAAAACTAATGCATTAGGGAGGAGGGAGTCATTCCCTCCCAACCTACTGAACCCACTGCCACATCACTTTTTCTCTTTTGTTTTTCTTTATCTTTCCGAACCCACAACACACGGAAATCGTATCTTTTTGAACCCACTCAATTAAAAAAAATACAAAACAACTAAGGTACAAGTTTTAAAACACATGGTGCAACAGAAAATAAGAAAGAGAAAGTAGAGAGAGATGATGAAGTGGGTTAGTGAAACCAATCAACCCACTCGTTGAAGCGGGAGTGGTACCGCCGATAACTGTATTGCTAATTAAGATTTTACATTTGATTGTTTTGTATTTTTTTTAATTGAGTGAGTTCAAAAAGATATGATTTCCGTGTGTTGTGGGTTCGGAAAGATGAAGAAAAATAAAAGAAAAAAAATGATGTGGCAGTGGGTTCAGTGGGTTGGGAGGGAATGTCCTCCCTTAGGAAATTTCCATCATGGAAGAAAATATCTTCATTGATAAATATAAGGAGTCAGTACAACAGCATCACCACTTTTTGTACATTTACCATATTTTCTGCCTAATTAATGACCAATCTATGTCACGGTCACGCCACAGCCTACATGTATACACTTATCATTGGCCTTGAACATATTCCGTGTCAATCTACCATCTATTTTCTCCCCCTCCTTCAGTAGTCTGAAGAGAATTACCAGACAACCATTTCCATCATCTGTCCCCCCTTCATTAATTTTGGGTGTTATCGTTCATCGCAATTTACAGATCATCCTTGTTGTCACTATCAAGCCGCTATAAAAAGACCATTCAAGATAATTATGTACCACCAAGCCGATATTCATTTTGAGCCTTTCCACAAGAGCCTTTAAACACGAGAAGGGCTTTGACAATGGGGATGAGAGTAATGATTGATAGCCAAGTGCTCCTCAAAAAATTAAAATATTACGATATTACTTTCCATTATAATTAATTTTCTCAATAATCACATTATACGGTATGGCAACCCAACTAGACATTTGTAAATTTGTAATATTTATTTAAATGAAAGGGGACCAGTGTATATTAAAAAAGATCACTATGTTATCAACCCAGTGAACTATTTAATTATTACGTGTGCCCATGAGTTAGGAATGGGAGAATATATAATTTAGCAATATTATTAACAGATAATAATTAATTTATCAAAGATTATATATATTCATAAGTAGTTTTAGTCAATAAAATCTCATGGGCATTGCTATTTCAATATAAAAGTGTTGGATAAAAAGATGTCTGCGACCGATGATCTGGTCTCACCAGTTTTGATGCATACTAAGGTTAACATTTTAGTTCATTATCTAATTTGCTTGACCAATCTTTATAATTGCTACCTCGAACAAATATAAATTAAAATCTAAGTAACAACGCTAGCAGTTTTTCTTATCGATTCATAAGATCATCGAACATAAAAATACACTTTACTCAAAGCCTGAGAGACAAATCAAGCTGATGAAAATCTTCTTGAACACTCTCACCCTTATAACAATAATCCAACCCTGTTCTCCCAACATGTCCCTGATGTTCCATCCCCATTACGAAGGGTCGTTGAACCCAATCAACATGGCTCGAAGCATTGGAATAAGACCTTGATACCTGGTTCCAAGCTCTAACTCCTGCGTTAATATATCTGCTTTTCTTAGCCAATGTACGTTCGAGCTTGTGAGCATTCTGATGGCCTCCAAGTGCTTGCGAACTATAAAATTTTCTCCTACAGTAATTACATGGGAAAACTCGTTGTTCGGGGTTGGTGGAGGACGATGAAAGAGAAGAAGAGTTAGTATCATGCAAGAGGTCTAGGGTGTAATCACTTTCGGGTAGGTTTAGATCGAGGAAACTCATGGCTGTCAAGGATAGCAAAGAACAAAGTACGTACAAATTAAAGATATGAGTACGTTCAAACTTAAGAGTTGAGTTATATAGAATGGTTTATGGTTTACTTGGAAGTGAGCATCAGCTTATATATAGGCTTCCTGTCTTTCAAAAATAAAAAAATAAAAAAAGTTATATATATATATATATATATATATATATATATATATATATATATATATATATATATATATCTATATATATATATATATATAGAGTGTGGGCAATCGAAGTGTTGTCGCCTCCATAAAGGGCAGGATCGAACTCACTTGTCGGTATATATATTCCTTAGTTTATCTTTACATGTAGGGATTAGTATCTGGGATCGTTGAGTGTTCGATCTATGTTTAAAAGTGTTAGTGTTATGAAAACAATAACAAAAAACAGTCTTGCTAAGAATTTTATGTCATTCTGGTTACTTTGTACATTCGAAAAAAAAAACTTTTGTTTAAATTTGAAATTAGGATTCATTATCGTTTTTTGTTTAAAAAAAAAACTTTTATTTGATGGATAAAAACAAAGTTCCATCTTACTCTAACTTTGTTTAAATTTGAAATTAGAATTCTACGTTTTTTGAATAACTAATATAAATGAAATTCAAATTTGTTAGTTGATTTTTCGGGATATGACTTGTATTCAAATTGAGAGTGAGATAATGAATATGAGCAGAAAATAAAAATTGAGGGATCGTATGAGAATGACATGTGGCATTTAATGGATTTAGAAAAGTGACACATGGCTATAAAGGATTTTTTATTAGAGAGGTAGACTAGTTTTTGTTAATAAAGGTTTTGGAAAATTAAGTCATCATCTTCACTCTTTCTTCTGTCGGCACTCACTCGAAGAGTGTAGGTGATTTACCTGTTTTGATCATATCATGATGTTTCTGAAAGGGTACTCTCTCTATTCTTTAATTTCTATTCTTACCTCATCTAATTTATTTTAAAATGAAGTTTTAATTAAATTATATTATATTAACAACGACACTACTTCATCGATAAATGTTTTCTAGAAAGTTGTTATAAATGATGCATTTTTAAATCTTTTATTATTGAGTCTTAATCCCCAATATGTCTAGTTAATGAGAAATATACAAATCTAGTTCATAGATGTTACTTAGGACCATAGCGAGGAGGATTCGAATTCTTGATTCTTCGAACCATAAAATTTTTAGACAAATGACATAACTCCAATAGAGAATCGAAATGATCATCCAAATCCAATGAAATACGGCTTTTAATGAGCACATAACATTTCATGGAGCCAACTTGATAAAGCAAAAACAATAGTATTTGAGATTAATTTTAAAAGAAAAAAACACACATTTTAGGTCTAAAGTGGAAAAAAAAATATAAAATGTAGGGTCTTTTATGAAAAAAAAATCAATTAGTTTACATGTTGGTGACCTGTTAGAGTCCGAAATAACAAGTTTCCAGTAAACTTTGGCTCTTTTTCGGAAAAACTAAAAGTTTTAGGTCTAAAAAGAAAACAAATCAAAATATAAGGTTTTTATTGGAAAAAAACCCTAAAAAAGGATATATATGTGATATTTAGTTTTTCTTTATGGAATTGGGTCACAAGCTATCCAATTTGTCCCAAATTGGTTAGAAAGGATTTTCTCAAGGACCCTAAATCCCAACTTTTGCTATTTTTATTATTTTTAATGATTTTAATTATCTTTGGCTTGTTAGGTTGGAGTGAATCCATCCCATCACTCCCAATATCTTTGTCACATCGTTACAATATCAATTCTTTTACTTCTATTTTATTCATCCCACAATATATGTAAATTCATCTTTTTATATTTTCAAACCCACATAATTTTTAATTTTAAAACAAATATAAACTAAATAAAATAATGTAAAACTAATTTCATAAAATATTAAAAAAACAAAACTAGTTCACAAACTAATTCAAGACAAAGAAAACGATATGTAGTATTAGTATAGAAACATAGTGTAAGATTATTTAATGTATAGTTTTAAAATGATGGAACAAGTTAGTTTACCTTGTAAGAAGTATAGATTTATGAGGTACTATAAGGGAGGAGGGATAATGACTTGAGAGGGTAGCATACTATTGATTTTGGTCACATTTGGTAATTAAACTTTTTTTTTGTGATCTAATAGCCCTTTAGCTTGTTGATTCGTGTAGATTTTCCCCTTCCGACTACTTAATATCGGTTTTAGCGGTTGAATCGGTCCTAGGTGTCTTTTTATCCTATGTGGCAAATGAGGTGGCATGTAGGCCTAATTAATAAGGCTGGTATTAAAAGATGGATGTTGCTGGTTGCTTTATTGTGCCCTAATACCCCGATGATGGCTTCCTCCTACAGCTTCTGCTCGACCTTCGATCGATCAAGCAAGAAATCAACAGTAAACAACACATAAACTTGTGATTGTGGGTTTTGGATTTTTGTTAACCATGACAGAAAAATAAAGAGGATAGGTTACGATATGGGTAATTGACTTCATGACTTTATGTCTTTATAGATTTTCTTCATATTATGCAACTTGGTTGCCATCGAGCAAAATGGATGATTTGCCTACCATTTTTTAGAATACTCATGGTTGGAAAATCATTAGATGCAAAAGTACTCAACAACGAAAAATAACACAGTGGGTAGACGGAATGACGATGAAAATGAGTTATGGACTTCACTGGTTATTTAAAGAGTTATACACCTTTTCTTTAAATCTATAATCAAACATATAATAAGTAGTACATTAATTTATTTATTTTTTGCACACCATTTTAAACAAGGTATATATGTGAGATAAATATTGCAAGTTCTTGAATTCAAGACAAAGATGACAAATATCACCAGTTTTATTTTGTATAAATTTATCCACAATGTTTGGATATAAAACACATAATACATAATGAATCATACTAAACCAATGTATTATTTATAATAATACCCAAATAAACATTAATATGCTTCAAAAAACATCAATATTTATCTAGGTGTCTTTACCTCTCAGATTTACAATATGGATTTGCCAACATGAGCGCCACCAGAGATAAATTGAGCTCACTCTTTTGCCACTGATGTCAAACTTGTTCAAGCACTATCGACATCCGATGCCAGACTTGTCTTCGATGCGACACGAGATCTAATTCGTTAGAGACGTTTCATGCACAAAAGTAGTCGGAATTGGTGTTGTGGAAGTCTTTAGAGTAGGCGTATATGTAGAGGCCATTATATAGTAGGCAAGAAGTAGGCATAGGATAGCTCATATTTATTAAAAAATATGGTGAAGGAAGTATGGTCTGGCTCTCAAAAGTTGGCCTACAGTTAATAATCCATAGGTATAACATCAACACTAACTTCGACGATTGAAGCATCTCTCTAGACCTTTAGTTAGTGAGTTACTTGCAATTAACCGGTTCCTATGTATTTCATAAAAAAATGTCTATCATGAACTCTCTTGTTGACAACTAGCAACATGATGTAGAATCCAGAGAGTCAGAAATTGGGGAATGGAAAGTGGGTGAGATTTCTTCGGTCCTTGAAATTGAACTTTGTCGATATTTATTATATAGTATAGAAATATATTACTATCAGAAATTTTAATCAAAGTATCATAAAAGAATATTTTAGGATCAAATAGATTCTAAAGGTATGAAATCATGTTTGAAACCAAGTAAAGATTTCACAAGAGTGTAAATAAGATTATGATTTGATTAGAGTATGAGAATTCGATTACAGTTTTTGAATGAAAGAGTTCACAAAAAAATCCCTACTATTATAACTAGCATCCCTTTATAAAGGTTAACAACCCGATGAGTTGGTTAGAGTAACATCCAATAACAAAATGACACCTAGATAGTGACAGTTGTAATATTGTTAAGCATATTCGCTTACGGAACCTAGGTACATAAACTCCAAAACTTAACATACTTTCGGAACTATATATTGAAGACTTTAAGTATTACAATTACGAATGCTTTCTCATTATGACTCAAACACAATGCATATAAACTATGAAACCCAGCAATCCCCCCTTGTGTTGAGTCGCGAAAGGAAGTCTTCATTTCAACTCATCAAAAACTTGAGGAGCATAGACAAGCACTATAGTCTGAACTGTTATCCACTATCTCAGCATGTCGGATATAAATTTGATATCAGTCTTAGAATTCAATCTGCAGAGTTCAACCTTCTCAAGAATCCCATTCAGCGTTGTAGTATTGTAGCAGTGCTTATCTTGTAAATACATCATTCGGTTTTTTCAAAATTTATTCACTTTAGATTGTAAACAAGTCCCCAAGACTATTTTTGTATCTGACCATCTCTCATATTCTCAAGCCCATCTGGCTGATCACAATAACCGATATTTATCTTCTTCTGCTTCAAGACTTAAACCATCTCCACATCCATTTTACACAACTCCAAGAAGTAAAATTAGATCATCTTGTTTAAATGTAAGAACTGATTACCATACTTAGTCTTGTATATCGAAATATTGAAAACATGAACCAGTCATGCGGGTTCATGAGTGGCAGATCAACAAATGAAAATAAGGACTCCTCATTATCGCTCCCTCTAACAACTTTGAACTTGTAGTTCAAAAATTCATCATTCATAACACATTCAGCTTTTCATTCACATATGGTAAACATCTTCTTAAAACTCCACACTTCATATTGAGGTCTAGACTGTGAAGTGTAGAACTCAAACAACTTTCAGTTCATGGCTCCATTTTCCATCACAACACCATATATGTTCGGGAACTTCTAAACAAAAAGGCATTTACTGTCATTGGAAAATCCAACTGACAATCAACCTTATTCTCCAAAACAAAGGATGATCTTGGATTAAGCCAATACTTCTCCACAATTTTGATAGCCTCATTCATCATCCTATCAACATTTCATTCAAGCCATAGAGCTTTCATCGTCAGTTCTACAGCCTCTGGTGTATTTATAATCTTCACATAACTAGATCTTGATGCTTTTGATGGAAAAAC